ATGCTTCAATTTGACTGTTTCAACGTAATTATTTATGTTTGATGATATAATATTATCCTTAATATGTTAGAATGAATTCGAAAATAGTATAGATAGAACAACTATCTTAAATCGAATCTTATTTTATAATAATAAAATAAAAATGTTTAGTTCGCTAGTTAAATGTGTTCTAGTCTGTAATTATTAATATATATATAGGTATGTTTTTGATATATATGGAGGTTTATATCGTCTGTAACGTAGTTAAACAGTCAATTAAGATTGTATTCTATTTAAAAAAAAGCAAAAAACAAACTTACTGAGTATATTTGAGACTATTGATTGAACTAGAAGAACTATCTTGATGAATTCGATCGAGTTTAATTTGTTTCGTTAAACAATTGAATATTTGATTAGATTTATATAATGATGGTTGAATAGGTAAATCATTTAGTACTTCATCAACTTCTGTAATTGTTGATGGTTTAGATATATTATTATTTATTAATAATTCATTTGATTGATGATGAAAATTTTCTAATTGATCATCTTGTTTCAATACTGAAAATGATGATGTTTTAGCTATATTTTCTTCGTTTTTTTCTCTTTGATTTAATTCTAAATATAAAAAAAAACTAAATAAATAAATAAATATTAACTGATTATAATAAAAATGATGAAATAAATCCTACTAACCATGAAAATAATGATCAAATCTTTGAATAATTATTTGAATTTGTTGATCAAGAGAAAGAAAAATATTTTGATTATTATTAAGATCTTCTAATAAAATATTAAGACTTTTATATTGTTCATAATTTGATTGTTGACAATTTATTTTCCATGTTCGATTTGATAAATAATGTTCAAGTTTAATATGAATATAATCATATTGATAAATACAATAATAACCAATAATATCATCTTTTTCTTTTTCTTTATTAAATATAATATTAATTATAGAAAAATGTTTATTATACTGATTATATTTTTTAAAAGATTGATAATCAACATTGTCATTATCTATTTAATTAACAAAGAAATAATTATTTCATATTAAAAAACCAAAAATAAATAAATTACAAACATTGTTCATTAGTTTTTTTCAACATATTTTCAACTGAATTTCTTTCTTTTTCTTCTTTAGATATAGGCACTTCCATTTGAATTTTTATGTAAAAAACAAAAAAACAAAGAAAAAATAATAATTAAGAGAGCAAACATTCAGTTATATGCATAGATATTTATGTGTGGTGGTCGTCACCCTTTCGTGTAATTCATTTTTTTTATTTATCATTTTTTCACGTATTCGATACAAATTATATGAATTGATAATACGAAAAAGAATAGTTTATGGTTATGAATGAGACGAATACATTTGCGCATATATCACTGATAAAGAAAAAAAAACAGTTCGTTTTAAACATTTCAAAGATAAACCCTTGAATATATTTTGATTTTTATTAACTGAAGATACTTTTCATTCGATACGATATATCCAGTCATTCATTTTTTTCATTTAAAAAGATTTTTTATTACTTCAAAAATGTTAAAAAGAAAAAAAAACTCAACATAAGACAAATAGTATTATTAGATAAATATTATCTTATAAGAATAATAATCAAATATATTTATTCAATAGTTAATTTTATCATTTTCTTTTAACTGTCCTTCTAATATGAATTTCGTATATTTTTATTGAATATGTATCATTGAATATAATATTGTAGCATTACAAAGTTATACAATTGATCAATGTATTTGACATAAATCTTATCGAATATATATTAAATTATATGAATTAATTTTTTCTAGTCAATGATCTCAATTTGTCGATAAATATTATTAATTTTTTGTAAGTAGAATAATAAATTCATTTATGAATATGAATTGAATTATTATTACTTTAAATCGGTTTAAAATAATTTTGAAATTTCAATTATAGATTAGTCTTAAGAAGAATTATAGTAGATTCATTCTTAAGATGACTTTTAATTTAATGTCGTTTTCAATGACATTAGCAATTTTATTTCAAATAAAAACTTATCAAAACAAAATTATCTAAATAGTTCGTGTGATTTTATATTTCAATATTCTAATTTTAATTTGACTGAATGTTTAGGATTTCTTTTTTTTTGAATGAGAACTGAAGTAAATCTCAGTATTCTTTTTGTTGTTTCATTCCGATGTAGTTCAATATAAGCATAATGAATTTTATCTGTATAAATATTAATTAAACAAAATGAAACAAAGTTCGATAAGGTTCTGTTAGAAATTTAATGTTCTTTCAACTGCTTTCATTTTTTTGAAAATATTCTTTCATTTATATTCTTAGAAATGATCAATTTATTCAACATATAAAACAATTCTTTTATCACATATTTTACAAATAAAAAAAAAGTTATTTCGATACAAGATCAATATCTTATTCAGCGTCTAATATTTTTAACAAACTTATCTTATAAAAAAAAGTTAATTATATATATATAGAAATATGAATATTGTACAGTAAATTTAAATGTTTAATAAAGATAAAATGTTGTTAAAAGACATTGATTTTAGATTTGTAATAAAGATGAATATATTCTCAGACTCTACTCTTAAAGCCCATTGGGTTGGTCACGAGCCCAAACCCGCCTGGATCCGTGTTCAAGTTCGAAAAAAGCTTGGATCCGGTGAACCCGAATGGTATGAGAAATACATAGTTTGTGCTAGTCATCGAATCGAAAAAGGCGGACAAAACTATTCGACATCTTCGGAGTGACTATCCAATAGTGTCGATGTAGCAATTGACATCTCATTGGCTTTTCAGTTCTTTTATAACTGAAAATTGTCTACCTTGATACTGATTCGAGAAAAACACTTTTTACCACCTAACTGACCTTTCATTTCAGTGTCGCGGTGTTGGGGCGTGCAGCGTCCCAGAAGAGCTGTGACTCAATGCGCGTCTCTGTGTACACAGTCACGTCCATGTTCAGTTTGCGTTTTCTTTCAATGAAACGACGCTGATGAGTAGGTGCCACAAATGTAAATACTTATTGAAACATCCATACATCCCATCGTGCATGTTGTGTGTGGCCGTGAAGGGATAACGATATAATTGTCTACCCTGGTATACAAATGCTTACTGCAACATCTCGCACATCAAAATTCATCCTTGCAGACTGTCGTATTTCGATGATTGGTTTTAGGATGCTAACTTATGAAAGAAGCATCACAAATAATGGCTGTTGGATTGAAGATATCATACAATGCATCCAGTCTGATCTATCTAGCAGATTGGTTCGTCCGTTCATCATTAGAATGCTTCTTCTAGCATTCTAGATACAGCATCATAGAACTTACGAGGGAACATCCCCAGGTGTCAAATCGTTTAATGGGCTGAGTATGTACGCAAACGATAAATCTCAGTGAGTTATTAAATTATTGAGAATTGTTTGATTTTTAAG